TTAATATGTAAAAATGCCCGATATGTACCTAATTAGTCACCGATATATAGGTACCCGATATGTGTGAGATAGATCGTTTTTTGACCTGTGTAATTGCTTAATATTAATATATTCATACATCTGTTTTTCAAGTAAAACATCATTCAGCTGACTGTAAATATCATTAAGATTCTCATTTTTACAAGCAATAATTCGATACATAGTACAATCATTTTCAGAATTGCGAGCACTTCCATCACTATAATGAAGAATATTCATATTGGTAGTAGTTATAGTCAGATATTCTGCATATTTTTTTAAGATTTCAATTAAAGATAAAGTTGCAGGAATTACTTGATTCCACACATCATTATTCGCCCATGGTTGACTGACAGATAATTCAAGAGAACTTGAAAGGTAAACCAATTTTTGCTGTGATAATGGATTTTTTTTATGATGACTGATATGGTAAAATTTATTATAGTATGTCTCCCTATCCTGATAGGTTTTTAGTTGTGTAAAAAAGACCGGCAAGTTACATGAACGTACATGCAAAGTAGAAAGATGTGGATCAATATACCAAATTGCATTTATAATACGATTCACAAATACTTTACCAATTGTATCATGCACATCACCTGTCCAGCCAACATTTTGATTACGAAATAGATCAATAATTTCATTATAAAGTTTATTACGATCATTATATTCAGTACAATGTTGAGGAAGTAAAGTTTGATATGAATGTTCATTAAAATATCAAAAGCATTTAAAGTATTTGTGATTTGTGGTGTATCTAAATGTGTTTTTTCAATAAAACAAAATTTAACTTGAGAATATTTCAAAACTTCTAACATTTCTAAATTTCCTTTTAACTCATTGTCAACCTTTTTCCAGCTTTCAGACTTTTGACGTCTAAAAAAACTTCTACTTCTCTATCACCATATTCTCCTGATGTAACTGCACCAAAAAGATCACTAAACTGATTATTTGTAAATTCTATGCTCACTACATGTTCAGGAACTATACGTTTAATACTTTCATTAACTTGAACCAAGAGATAAAGCATGTTGGTTAAAGAAGTTAATAGATATTACCATTTAAAAGCACCCCCTAAATACGTAAAAATGTGATTAAAAAATGTGAATCATTTTGCTTTTATGGATAGATTTTCATCATTGTCATCAGGTGTTAAAAGTGAAATATCATATCATATGACTAAAATACTGTGATTTTATTGGCTGTACATAATGCATATTATTTGACTAAATTTTATAAAATAGGGGGGAGGAGTTATGATAAACAGATAATTGGCTTGGACTGGCCTTAATTGTACATTTTCATTAGTCTCAAAAATATATTAAAATATGCCTTAATATTTTAAGTACTTTTTTTTAAAATTCATTATAATCTTTAAGTTAAGGTTATTTTTTAATGCATTTAAAAATATATTTCAAATAGGCAATAATTTAGGATTTTACAATTTCACTTTTTACAACTGCTTAAACATCTTTAATTGGCTGTAATTCATAGTAATAGATGACATATAAAAACTTCATAATTATATTATTTTGCTATTTTAATGCAAGAAAATGATACCATTTTCTTGTACATTTAAACCAGCTTCAATAGTTTTAGTTTTTGTAATTCATTTAAAAAACAATATTGACTTCCAGTTTTTGTATATCAAGTTTTTAATAGTATATCGGTATATCAAATATCGGTATATCGAGGTTATACTGTACAAATCTTTTTGCATCAGGTCAAAATAAAAAATATAAAACAAAAATTTTGTTACTTATCTGTAAAATAGAATTTATATCAACTTCATTAAATATAAATTTTCATCTTAAATGTAATTATCATATATCAATATTTATTATATAGCTTTTAAATAACAAATTAGCACAAGAACAACAATGTAAGTTGTTAACTTTATTTGCATTTAGTTTTAATGGCTAAAGTTAGAAGAAAACAAGGGTCAGTTGGGTAAAAGATCTGAATTGGATCTCTTAAATAATACCAAGAAATTACAAAAACTATCAATTTAAACTAAACTACAAGTAGTATGTTACTATTTCTATTTACGCATCAACATTGGACGATGTTTTCGTAAACTTTCAGCCACTTTGGTAAAATGCTCAGTCAACTTTATCTGATCAATTGCAAGAACATACTGACATTTTAGTGAGTCTTTATCATTCGTCTTGGGAAGGTATTCACTAACAATATCAACCATCTTTTGAAGTGATTGACCATAATATGAATATGTAGTACTCCCAGTAAACATTATAGTATACAGGTAGATTGGCGATCTAGTTTAGAAAAAATACTTAGCAGTCAAATAATTTTAAAGTTGATTCTAAAATAGGAACTTAAAAATATTACCCTCTATTTGCTTCTCTTTGACAAAGACTACGTAATTCAGGTTCCGGAGCATGATATTCACCATCCGATAAAAATATGATTACGTTTGTCCTATTATAATATTATTATAATAATTGTTTAAAACAAGAATTTAAGCAAAATATGAATTCAAGAACTTACTTTGAAGCATCATAATATTTGTCAATAATTTCTGAAGCTTTTTTAATACCCTCGTGATAATAATTATCGCCAATAGGAGTATATGCCATCATCTTCGTTAGTAATTGTTCGGGGTTTGATAAACTTTCATTCTCAAAAGCAACCAAAGCATTATAATCAAAAAGAACCATAGATACAGTATCTCGATCTACAGACATCTGCCCAGATGGCGTTACCTTTCGTGAAGAACGACGGGTTTCAATAAAGGTGTAAGCTGCATCATATACAGCTCCAAGTCGATTATTATGTGTCAACTTTAATCTCGAAGTAGCTGTACTTGAACAAATTGGCATACAATCACTATTCCACATAGAACCACTTCTATCAACTACAAAAACAATATGGAAATTACCAACATTTGTTGTTGGATTTTCACAAGTAAAATGATGGCCATCAGTTGATATGTAACCGGTCTTCCCAAGTGAAAATGTTTTTAAATCAACTGGAGCATGAAAAATTTCTTGAGTACAATAGGATTTGGTAGGTTCTTTGCCAGTTATTTCATTCACACTGTGATGTTTCTCATCCGCGCATTCATGATCACACTTCTTGAAATTTTCACGGTCCTCTTTCGAATAAGGATCTAAAGATAGAAGTTAAACACATTTATTGAGTCAATAACAAAAAATTTGATCTTGTATAATAATACCTTGAAACATTGTTCGCTCCCAAAAGACACGATGAGATATATAATCTTTTTTTCGGTTTGGCTGAGGACTAATATGTGCTGTTATTAAAAAAATTCAAAAATCAAAATCATGTCAAATCTTGTCAAAATATAAATTATAATCTACTCTTACCTTTTATATGCTCTAATATTCCTTCCTTTCGAGATCCTCCCTCACTCTCACACACACCAGGATCTTTACAAAAGTCAATATGACGATGACGACCCATATTTTCACATAGCTAAAAAAAACGAATGAATTAGATTAAATTATGTTTATAAACATGCAATTATTAAAAATTGGTACACCTACTTTGTGACAAAGAACAAAATCACCACGATCTCCAACATTCAAACGATGTCCTATAATGATAAGATACGACAAGTTAATATTAAATACATTATTATTTTATATGTAATGAAATCTATATGAATTTAAATTGGACCTTCAAATTCGAACTCCTCCTCTTCACATGTAAAGGTAGTCAAAAGCATATTTCCATGGACAGTGGCTATTAAAACAAAGCTATTAGAACTTCTTATGAATTGCGTCTTTTTTTGAAATAATTTGATCACTTACAATGCTCAGTATTATGCATTTTACCGTGATCATAAGGTAGTGTGCACTTAAAATAAAAGATGTTATTTTTGCTCATATCGCTCATATCATAATATTCAACTGTTAAAATGGTTATAATGAAAGTTACTTACATAGTAAGCACAATTCGGACACTTGACATCACAATAATGAAAATTTTGTTTGTCATTTTCTTCTTTAATATGTTCACCCTCATCATCAGGACATGATGCATTACATTCATGAGCTTTCTTTTCTTCGTGAACATGCTTGCCTTCGTGATCAAATTTATAAGGAGGTATTTTTTTACAGCATTGAAGTCTTTGAAATGTTTGAGAATACTATAAATTTAAAGAAATTAATTTATGAAGATTTATATGATCAATTTTCATAAAATATTACCTTTGTAAACATAAAGCTGCCGAATTTGTTAACATATTCAGCTTGTTCTTTAACTATCGCAGTAGGTTCAGTTACTATTTTGCAGATCCCACTTTCTTCACATTCTTTTGGGCATTGATGTTCGTTTCTAAAATTTTGTAATTAATAAACTATTTATATTCAGCCTTAAACAATATGAAATTTATTTACCCGCAAAAATGTTGCACATCTTTCTCAAAAGCATGAAAATGCTCTTTGCTTTCGCATCTTCGTTGACACCCTTCGAGTGGGCATTCAATCGGACATACCTCGTTTTGACACTTATGAACAGTATGATCATCTTCACAAGGAATCTTCAAATTGTATAAAAAAAAATTTAATAGTGAAAAAAAAGGCAAATAAAATATTTAATATTTATATACTTACTATACACTTATTTCGGCATTCATAGGAACCACCCGGCAAGTTTACTTTTAACGAACATGATGCGCCACAATAATGACGGCTGGCTTCACATAAATGAGTTTCGCTCCCAAGAGTTTTTTCATGTCCCACCTCTTTGGCACAACGGGTTTGACAATTTCGTTTTCCCGAATAAATACAAGGCTCTCCACAAGCGTGGTTTTGAGCACAAGCATGCCTTCCTTCATGACCAGCGAATTGTGTGCATTCCGGTAAAGTGCCAGTGGTATGAGCTTCTTCAAAGCAGCAACGGAAATGACATAAATGATCTGTTAGACAATCATGTCCCGTATCTTTTTCGTTATCATCATGACGACTTGTCTTGAGACATGCCATGCCACAGCTGTTACATTGGAGCCGACAAATGTTCCAGAATAAGTTTAGCTTGGTTATTTCTTGCTCAAGTGCATAACTAGTAATCTTGATCTCGTTATGATCGTTAGGAAATCTCGAGATGTTTTTGTTGAACCATTGTTGGGCACGATCGATGCGTCTCTTTATAATGAACTTTAAAAACTTATCATATTTTTCAATCCATTGGCTATCTGGTATTTCTCCTCGAGTATGGACATTTTCCTCAAAATAATTCTTCAAATCTATTAGAAAAAACTTCATGCTTGCAAATTATTCAAAGTAAACTTTTTGTTATTGCAATACAGTTCTACTTTACCACTTGAAAGTTTGACAAAATCATCTCCATTCTTTAGTAATACAAGTCCAGTATCAGGCATCAATTTAACTGATTCATTGATATCATCAAAGATCTCCGAGAGAGATATTACATCATCAGGTATTAAAGTTCCATCATCACGCCCCTATTTGATTCCAAACATGAAATTATAACTTACATACATTCCTGACTATAAGTAAAAGTATCGTAAATAATAATCACCCGAAGATGCTTAATTCCATCAATATTAGTACTCGCATTTTCCGATGAAGCTTCATATTCAGAAAAAGGATCATCCTCTTTTTGCTCGTAACCATAAGAAATGACGTTATTGAGGAATTTCTTGATTTCCAATGCACGCATTGTGACCAAAGTTGCTTGGATACTACCCCAATCACACACTCTGTGAAAATAAACATGGAATTAGGATCTTAAATAAAAAAAAACAAATAATAACGGTAAAAAAATTTACTAACTTTAACTTAGTCATCAAGACCTAGAATTATCGAATTTAATATTAAATAATTATAATTTATAAATGTAATTAAGATAAATTATTATCGCATGTTTACCTTAATTTTTTCAATAAAAGCTCTGGCATTCTTATACTTAGAATCTTGGGCATCCAATTTAACTTTCAATTGCTTGAAGGTCGTATAAAATGCGGCTTCATTAAACACTGGCCAAGGAACAATGCTCATTTTATTACGGTACAATTTGGTAATAAAGTTATCCTCCTCTTCCTAAATTCCAAAATTAGCCAATTAATTAGTGTTCACTGTTTTTTTCTGAAAGAATACATAATATCTGAGTTCCGTACCCGATCCACAATTTTAGAGAATTTAGATTGAAATTCAGCGACGATATCTTCTCGATCAGTTTTAGCCACATCTTTAATAATGATACAAAATCGAGCCTAAGAAATATGTGAATACAAAGTGAATGAATAGCAGGAAATTATTATTGACAACTATTTTTACAGATATTTACTTGAAATATATCCGGATCATCACCAAAGTAATTTGTGCCATCTTGAAAACGTTGAAACATTGAAGAAATGTCCCGGCTAACAGCGAATTGACTTTTAAATAGTACTAGATTTGATAAGGCAGCGTTGAGAAGCTGCATGAAAGTCTCTTCTTGCGGAGTTCTCTCAATACTTGCTAAGCCTGCAACATTTGACGTAAATAATCAAGCTTAATAAGAGATTGGCAAATATAATGAAGAAAATAAAATGAAGAAGATAATTGTATTACCTTCAAAATCCAAGGCAACATAAAGAATATCGTTTGTTTTCACTTTCGATCAAATGAATATAATATTAAATATCTATAGTGAGAGTAACGAAAAAATTGTAATGTCTTATACATTCGTACCTACTGACATCCATACTCCTTCTGTGCATCGCTAGATGATGGACAATTAATTGTTAATTAGTTTAAATTAGCTTAAATGTAAAATGATTTAAAAAATGTTTGTTTACCATAGCAGATCCATCAAAGGTAGATCCAACACAATGGTTAAGCAAATAACTCTTGCCTTTATTAATGAAATACGGTCAATTAGGAATATTTGCTAGAAAACTCATATACAGAATTACATTATTTTACTTGCCGCATGATTGTTCACCCATTGAAGATATCACTTTAACTTCTAGGTCTGCATAATGTTCGAAAATAGCTTCATACCACCCAAAAGATATGGCTTTGCTTACACTCCCAATTAACCCATATCCTTCATCAAAGGTAGGTTGATCGATTTCAGGTGAGAACACTCCATCTTGTAAAGGCACAAATTCATTATCACGGGCAATAGCAATTTGAATTGGAATTAAACAGAAAAGCTGGATAATCCACCTAATAAATTAATATCTGAATTAGAAAAAAACATGCTCGCTTTCAAATATAAAAAACATATTAGAATTTACAATATTTACTCTCCAAATTGATATTCGGTGCTTTCTTCATTTAAGATAAGATTCTCAAAAATTGTATATCCAGCTTTGAAATGCTTTAAATGACCAGAAGGTTTTTTGGTTTCTTTTTTAACTTTTTCAAACATTTTGGCAACATACTTTTGAATTTTTGTTTCATAACTTGCAACTTCAGAGTTCTCAGATACATCAGCCGCAAAAGTTGCTTTTAAAGGGTTATCAATTCGGCCGATAGGAGTTGTTGTTGCATACTTTGTAAAGACCATGGCGTAAGCATCAATAAGACCATTATTGGTATTCCTTTGCTCAATCTCAAAACTTGACCACTGTCCAACATTAAAGTGATCAAAGCTTGGCTTAACAATCTTCAATACATTATCATAAATAATTTCGGATACTTGTCGTTTCTCATCTCCAATAATTAAATAATCACCAACACGTAAATCACGATTGAACATAGTATCCTTTCCCAAAATTGTTAATGATCTATTATTTTCGATTTTAACTTGACCTAAAGATATATGTTGTGACTGTCGCTCGAAACGGTATTGAGTTTTGGCATGAGTTATTTTTACCATTACTGATTGAAATAATTCTTGTTTGTTTAGAGTGATCAAATGAATTTGACGTTTATCAATGACTGAAAATTGAATGTTCTCTATTGATGATTTTGTAAAAGGTAATACAATAACTTTTTTAGCATTCTGGCTGAAGCCTTCGACGAAATAAATATGTGCATTAACAAAATCAGATCCGGATTTTTTTGGCTCTTCTTTATTAAAATTCTTGGTGTCAGAATTCGGATTGTCTATTTTTTCTGAAGCGGTTTCATTATTCTCTTCAGTATTGTCACAAGGCTCTTCATTGCTTATACCCTCATTCTCGCTGTCTGAGATAGATACGTCTGGCATTTGAATATCCTCGGTTTCTTCTTGTTGTTCTGCGGTAAAAGCCACAATGCAGGCACCATCTGGGGTGCTCAAGATCTTAGTAGCTGAAGATGGGAAATCTGCAATCCCAGGACGGAAGCTATCATTAATTAAACTGTATATCTTTGCTCTGCCAGTATATTCAACAAAACAAATATCTTCTGTATTTTTTATGAAAAGAAAATGAGCTATTTCAGGAGCAGTGTCATTATAATATTGCAAAAGTTGAATATTCCTATATCGCAAATTAAGATTTGTTTGTTCATCATCAAAACCTAAAACATTAAGCTTAAATAATAAAAGAAAGAAGGGATAAATTTTGATCAATCAGAGTAACATAACTACATATAATTATATAAAGATAATAACAAACCATAGCTTTTTCAGGACTATAAATTGCAATTAAACCCTTCGAATCATTAATAGCAATTTTCGAACCAAGTCCAGGATTTAATTTCTTGATTGCAATTTGTTGCTCAATCATCTTAGGCAAACGTCTCAACGTATCAAAATAAAATTCCATTCTATTGCTCTCTTTGTTCCATAAGATTACAAGAAATTTTTTGTCAAATTGTGATATATTGCTGCAAGAAAATAAGAACAATTTAATTTGTACATTTGACAAATATTATATAGTAAATATGATTTAATGAGAAAAGATACAAACATAAAATCATATTTTTCAGGATCAATTTCGAAAGAAACACCCGGATTTCGACCAAACCCGGGTAATAAAGGTGTAGGTACAAAGGATTCATCTTTTTCTAATTCCAAAGAATCTTCTTGGCTAATTTTTGTTTCATATATGGTAATTTTTAACTGGGCTGAACGTATGGCCTCAGTTTCTCTATAAAGTCGATATGACGTTTTGCCAAAATACGTACTATAAGGAACTTCAAATGCGAAATTTTTCCTTTGAGATCTTTGTGCGTGTATTAAGAAAAAATGAAGGACAATTTACCTTTTATTTCAATGTCTTTTACTATTAAAAGTTCTCCTTCAGGATACCTATCTTTAATTTCAGAACAAATACGAGTTATTTCGCAAATTTCAAGTTCACGCTTCTTATGGTCAAACTCAAGATCTAACTTCCGTGAAGGTTTTATATTAAACATTGAAAATTTTGATAAAACTCCCTTGACTTTGTTTGGAAAACACTCTTTTCGCCAATTAACATATTCATCATAAAATGCATTAGCAATTTTAACTTCTTGAAAAGTATATTTAACAAATTGACAGTCAGGAATATTAGAGGCCTCATCCCTAATCTTTTGAACAATAGATGACATCCACCAATTTGAGCTATTATACTTATCGACAAGATTACGAAGATCTACTTCTTTATCAAAAAAGATTTCTAAAAAAAGTTTTTTTGGATCCAGCAAAGCTTCATGAGTATTATTTTCAGCATTTTTTTCACAGAAATTTCTCGCAAAAATAAACCGCCTCTTAAGGTTTACCCATGGCAAATATTCAATATAATTGACAATATCTTCCAATTTTGATGTAATTTTAGGATATTTATCCCGAATATATTGAATTTCTAAAAAAGAAAATGGTATTTAAATTAAAATTGGATTGGGCCTGTATATAGCAGCTGAGTAATAAACATCAATATTTACTGACCATCATCTTCTATGACATCTTTATAATAATAGATTTAAATAGAGTTAGATAAAATTTTTTAAATGTCATGCTCCCATGAAAACCTTACCTTTATTATCACACAGGGAGTCCTCAAATTCACTTAAAATCAACACATTATTAGTATAATTTATTGTAATATAAAAGAAACTTGAAGATTATTTACCCATAATTGAATCTAAGACATTGCCATGCAAGTTTCTCTATAAGTAAGGCATCTTGCTTAATTATTTGCTCTTTAGATATAGCCTTCTCCTGTTCAAGTTTAATCAAAGCGTCATAATACGGTTGAAGAATCTCTTTCAAGTCTAATCCATCTTTAACAATTGCTTCAAGTTTCGACATTGTTAAATCGGTGTCTAATATTAGAGCACATTTTTGAGTTTCCAGCTTGCTCCTGAAATATTCGCGAAATTCTGAGGTTGATTTAAATGGTATTGTGCTGCTGTCAGTAATCTTTGTTTCAGGAAGTATTTCACGTGTAAAGAAGGTTTGGTTCGATACGGATTCGACAACCGATGAATCCAATGGAATATTAGTGAAGCAGTTATAACTATTTTGAGCTTGACATGATACCAATCCTGAAATATTAATCTTATGAAGAGTTGGTTGATTTAAGTCAATATAAATATAAATTGAACTTGAAATATCAATTTATATATCTATCCCTCAAAATGGGTTGAATTATACAACATCTAACTTACTCTGAATCCGGGGGAGATTTCGAAATCCTCCTTTTGCTCTTGACTTTTTTTTACTTCAAAATCGTAACATACACCACCTTCACCATCATCATCATCACTTTCATCATCGCTGACTTCATTTGGGGCTATTTGCCAATCTATGCTTTCAAGATCACGTTCACTCATTAAACATATTTGATGATCAGTCAATTTTGTAAGATATCTGCAAAAAGATAAAAATTAGATTGTAAATAAGCAATTGTAACTTAATAGGTTATAAATAAATAACCAAATAATTACCGATGTAGATTTGTCATATTCTTCTTTCTATATGAAGATACAGAATCATCATAACAACCATCTTCGCTCCAATGTATAACTAAAAAAAGAGGGTTCACATTTTTTGTCTTATCAACTTGTTGAAGATAAATTCCTGGTCGGAGTGATGGTGTATAGTCACGTGAGGAAGTGTCAGCAGATGATGAACATGAAATCATTGATTTATAACTAATGAAACATTTTATATATTTTTTTAGAAGTTAATTATTTAAATGATCAGAAACAATATTCAAAGGGAAAAAAATCTTACTTTTTCTGATTAATAATATTCTTAATGAACAAAAACTTTGCAATTAGTTCGTTGCGGCCGTAGCATCCAACAAGTCGGATTGATCGTGAGTTCAATTTTTCGTAATTTATCTTCGAGATGGACTTGAAACTATTTGGCATGATCTTATTGCAAAGACGTTTAACATCTTGTTGAGATATAATTATCTTATCAACTAAAAGTTTTTGATTATTTTAAATCAAAAGGTTAATTAAAGCGAGATATTGATATTATAATATTTCCCAGCATAATAATAAAAGTTTCAAACTAGATTCATTACCGAGTCCATTAGAACCTTCATCTTTGCACAAATCCAGCAATCGATAAAGTCCAGGAATAAATTTGCACAAATCATTACTATTGTCGTACTCAGTTGTAGTTTCTGGTATCACATCAGGGATTTTGCTATCCATTTGCATATCTTGAGCTGCTCTGTTCAGCAACTTACAAAGATGTGTCAAACTGAAAAGAATTTATTAAAGACTTTTTAACGGAAAACAAGTTGAAGAATAGCAAATGGTAAGTACAAATAACGTAATGATCAAAGCATGATATCTAAAAGGAATATTTTCTTTGCACTATTTACGTGCACTTTATTACCTAAAATTTTGTTACTACTTATCAATATTGGAATGCTATGTTAATTTCCAATGAGTTGGGAAAATGAGTTAGACATCCCTTTTAATATATTTTTGAGTGGAATGTATGACAAACCACGATAATCTACATTCCCCCCAAAAAATGCGAATTTCATAAAAATCTGGTAAAAACAACAAATCAGGAATTTTCCGCAGAAATTTTTAGGTTTATATAAAGGACAAAGTTAGCATACTATGGCAATATAACTCCGAAAAAAGCAGCAAACTTGTTTTTAAATTTTTATATTGTTACTAGTATTTTAAATTCCCGGCTATCGCAGGTGATAAAAGAAGCATGTAAAGCATATTTCAGTGAAAATCGTATCAATATGTTACACGATCACATTCACTCACAGACGCAAAAATTTGACCCGTGTAACCATCATCACCCCTCTGCATAATATAAATAAATATTTTATAGCAAGGGGGTCAGTAGGGTGCGATGATTTATGCAGTGTTGATTAAGTGAGGCGGTCAAGATGGTAATTTTTGCCTCACGAGAACTTAATTACAGTAATAATAAACCTTAATTTGTATTTTTTAAACGTTGAATGTACGTGTATAATTCAGTAACCATTAAAATTATTATAATTATTTTGTATCTCTTGACAATAATATCTTCTGAAAACATTTTCAAAAATGGAATAAATGAGAACTATGATCCTGAATGAACTTACACATTAGTTATGCTCAAAAATGGAATAAATGAGAACTATAATTCTGAATGAACTTACACATTAGTTATGCTCAAAAATGGAATGAATGAAAACTATGATCCTGAATGAACTTACACATTAGTTTGTATGTACTAATGTACACCTGTACATAAAGATGGTCATCGGTCCTAAAAGACCGTGGTCCTACGGTCCTACACCATAAAAAGATGGACCAGTCCGTCTTAGTATAGGACTGTAATCTTTCAGTCCTGTATCACATATAATAAGACCGTCAGTCTTTTTAAGACTGATCGGTCTTTTTTTTTTTTTGCAAATAAAAAAATTTCCCCTGAATTTTATTATCCTAATCGGGATGTTTTTAATATACAAATTTTTTTTTTACAAATCACCTGCCCATTTAAATGAGATGGGAGTCCCATCCCATCCCAAATCCCAAATCCCATTCCCATTCCAATCCCAAATCCCATTTCCTATAATTTCAGCCAAATTTTATAATTCCGGCCTAAATTTCCTTTTTTGGCACTTGAGTAACGTTACACGATCCAAAAAAGGCAATTTTGATTCTCATCAAAAATGGGAAAATGAGTTATACAATAATCCAAAAAAAGAAATTTTATGTTGATCACTTAAATTAAAAATTGCGTGATTCCAGAAGTGAAAAATCAGGCACCAATCGGTCACCAATCAGGTAGCTGATTGGTGACTGATTGGTGACTAATTGGTGACTGATTGGTGACTGATTGATGCCTGATTTTTCACTTTTCGACCTGTGATAGCAAACTCCTTTTTTTTAACATAAAATTTTTTAAAGATTTATTTATAATTTTTTTATATATTTAATTATTTGTAAAGTATTAACCTATTAAGCATTCATATTATTATCATATAATCTGTAATTAATCAATTCTTAGATTAAAGATATTATATCTTATACTGTATATGCTAATAATTTAAATTAAATTAAAAATTAGAAAACTAAATCCATTTTTATTGAATACTAAACCATTTTAATTAAATATTAAGCATTTGATGTTGATGAATTATTATTTATTATTTTATAGATAAATTTTTTATTATTTTAATAGATAAATTAAAATAAAGTTAAAATATTACATTTTGGTTATAAAAGTTTATAATTTTGTAATGTTTTTTATAATAAAAAGGCAATGCAACATTAAAAAATTAATTCCAAATATTTCTTAGAAAATTTCTAAGTTTATATGGGACGGGGCGTTTGTACACAGGTCATATAAATATAATTTTTAATAGACTAATTTTTTGTTTTTTAATTTGAAATTGAATGTTTATTTTTTATTCTTATTATATTACAAATAAATATATGTATTTTCACCTGCTCTACAAGTTTACTTAAGGCATTAAAGGAGGTTTTGAATGCTGTTTTTAATCTACTAATATGACCCATGTTTAAACACTCTGTGTACAAATAGAAATTGCCTATTTCTTATTTAATTAATATAGAACTTATACTGGCTTTTTGCAAAAATTAACTTAATTTGCTCTTTTTTTTATTATTTCTTGCAAGAAATATTTTTATTTTATAGAGATTAATATTAGGGAAGTGACACATATCATGGACATGCATTATATCACAATGTCGATTACTTGCCGATCATGATATAAGTAATATCACATTAAATTTGAAGCTTTATTTAATAGTTTCATTTATCAATAATTTAATATAAAAGTATTGTGGAAAAATAAGGTGTGTTTCCAAAGTTAGATTTTACGTCAAATTTTCAATAATTAATATATATGCTATATATATGCCGATCATCTGCTAATCTGACTTTGAAGCTTCAGACGAAGTTACAGATCTTTAGGCGAAACTTGAAACTTTTACAGTATATTATTTAAGTATTTAAGAATCAATGGCTAAAATAAACCTGGAAAATTTTTGATAACCCAAAAGTTATCATTAAATAAATGTTTACAATTATTGTAAAATTGATATTTGACAAAATCTTTATGAATTATTTTAAGAACTAATTTATTAACAATAAATAAATAAAATAAATAAAATCGAAATTTTATACATTATTATGTAGAATTTGTGAAAAAACTAATTCAACGGTATTTTTTTGTGATAATATTGGACGAGTGATCGGCAAAATGATTGGCAATATCGTGATAATATGGGGATGTCTGCCCTGTTCAATAAAGCTGACCCCCTCCCCCTCTCGTGAGATTTATTAACACGTGATCTATTAAATAATATACATTTAACCAATTACTATCATCAATTTGATATCGTTCCAAATCTTTTTTTTTCTTTACTAATGTCAATACAAAATGTAACACTCAACTTTTATGTAAAAATTTTTTTAATTAATGTCAATACAAAATGTAATACTCAACCTTTTAATATGTAAAAATTTTTTAATTTCATAATGTAAAAGTTATTTTTGAATATTTAGATGAAAATAACGGGAAAATTTCTTATAAATATATCACAAAAAAATTTATAGTTTTGATACACATGGTAACCCCTTACCCAACGTAATTTGTGAAAGTTTGATCATTAAAATTTTTACGTCTGTGAAAAATTTTTACATTCGAGACTTTAACATGCAGGCTTTTCTGACTACACCGAAATATAATAAATTTTACGTTTATAAGACTCCTACAAACCAATACCAAAAGTTTTGTAATGCTTTTAAATATCATCGTTGTGACACGCCACCCATAGGATATTAAAATAAAATATCGTATGTTGCCACTGACGTGTTGAGTTCGTATAACATCTATGCTTGGTTTAAAATAAAAATTAGTTACAAAAATTACAAAACATTATTTCTTACCGAAATTTTAAATTACGATAGTTTCTCTATATTTTTGATAAACTATTAATTAAAATAAAATAATTAATGTAGCACTTTTTACTCATAAGAAAAAGGCAAAAAGAATGTGTTAGTTTTTATTAAAGGCAAACTAAAAATTTTATTTTTCCAAAAATTGAACTGCCGAATTTCCTATCGAAATCCACTTGTATTTATNATCGAAATTCACTTGTATTTATACATTTTTAAGAAAAATATTTCTAATATTTCTAATATTTCTAATAAAATTTGAAGATCTATTATCATATGACTATCTCGTTATACTAAACTAAACTATAAATATAATTTTATTGGCTAATTATTTATCCATCGGCTAAATATTTATCCATCACTTACTGCGCCATGTGACTTGTCACGTGACTTTGTATTCCCAACTATTTCTTCTTGTGTAACCATATCATGTGACTTACTGCGCCACAGGATCTACTGCGTCATTTATCTATTATATTTCTGGTTATTACATTTATCCTCCTCTTGAAAAATTTATGTCCCATAAATTAATTTAAGAATCGAATTCGGGTCTCAAACATATTATATTACTATATATGGTTCAAATATTTTCCTATCAAAATATTCCTTTAATAATTCTCCATTTACTGGTCTTCTTAAAATTCTTCCATTTAATTCTTTAATTTTGTACGATCCATTTATTATCACTTCATGTATATAATATGGTCCCTTCCATTTTTCCTCTAGTTTTCCTGTATGTGTTTTGTATTTTACCGCGTCAAAATATAATACTTTATCTCCTATTTGAAAGTTTTGTTTTCATTTTCCAATTTTGTCATGATATTTCTTTTGTTGTTCTTGTGCTTTTTCAATATTCTTCTTTGCTTCATTTCTTTTTATTGGTAATTCTTCTATTATATGTTCTATTCTTTTAATCATTGTAATTCCTTTAACTTCTTCATCATTCGGTAATATTACTCTTCTTCCATAAGTCAAATAAAATGGTGTCATTTTACTTGATTTCTGTATTTTACTTCTATATGCAAACAATATTGGTGCTATTCTTTGATCCCAATTTTTATCTTCATATTCTCTATTTCTATATATCGTTAATTTTTCTTTTACTAATTTCGCCAATGATTCTATTAATGTTTTATTAAATCGTTCTACTAATCCATTTGTTTTAGGGTGATAAGGAGTCGAGAATTTATGTTGAACATTAAATTTTTCTGTAAGATTTTTAGTTAATTGATTATTAAATTCCGATCCATTATCTGTAAGTATTTTCTTTGGACATCCATGTCGACAAATTATTTCTTCATAAATGAATTTTGATATTTCTTTTGCATTTGCTTCTTTTATTGCTTTTGCTTCTGGCCATTTCGTAAAGAAATCTATTGCTACTACTATATATTTATTTCCTTCTTCTGTTCTTGGTAATGGTCCTATTACATCTATTCCAATCATATGAAAAGGTTCTTTTACTTCTATTGGATGTAATTCATGTAACCCTTGTGGATTATTTCTTCTTTGACAATTATCACAACTTTTTACATATTTTTCTACATCTCGTTTCATATTCTTCCACCAATATTTTTCCTTTACTTTTTCATATGTAGCTTGAATCCCAAAATGTGCTGATAATTCATGATCATGCATCATATACATTATTCCTTCTAATTCAAATCTTCTTATTACTCTAAACTTATTTTCATCTTTAATTTTATATAAAACTCCATTTTCTTGTACGTATTTTTCTTCTTTTTCTATATTCTTTAAAATTTTA